TTTTATATATACAGAATAAACTGTACACTTTAAAAGGATGAATATTATAGTATATGGATTATAGCTCAATGAGAAATTTTTATTAAAAGCCTACTGAATCATGGGACCAATAAATGGTGTAATGGTTACACTGCTGTACCCACTATGTGGTTGACCATGGTTCAAGTCCTGGACCTGGTGACTTGAAACTTATGTCAGGTGTGTGTGCATATGTGCCCCAAATGCTGAGAGGAAACTGGAGGAGAAGGGATTACGGAGTGACAAACTCCCTGGGGTGGGGGGGGTCAGGTGGTGGTGATTTCTCACTTGCCATCTGTCTCTCTGGCAAACACGTGTACCCTATAGCAAAAATCTCTCCACAGAAAGACAAAAATAAAAACAATCTATTGAATCATAGACTTTATTTTTATTTTCTAAATTATTTTTAAATTTTGTTTATTTATTTATTCATTCATTTTAATTTGATCAGAGAGAGAGAGAGAGAGAAGGAAGGTGAGAAAGCAAGCCACCAGGTCCGTAACTCGAACTGCAGTCAGCCACATGGGAGTGTCCAGCACCCTTAACCACCATGCCACCTACTGGTCCCGAATCATAGACTTTAAAAAAGTAAATTTTATAGTCAATAAACTAGATTTCAATTTTAAAAAATTTTTAATGTTTTTAATTGTCAGAGGGTACATGGGCTCACCAGAGACAGGAAGGGAAAAAGCAGCCCCAAATGGGCATAGTCACACCACAATCCCTTCTCTATTTCTTCATCCTGTTGGGATTTGGGGCACATACACACACATGCGCATGGCATGTCTTTCAAGTCACTTGAAATACAGTCAGCCATCCATATGGGATCTGGCTTCCTTCACTAGGCCATGGGCTGACCCTACATTTTAAATTAAAATAATGGTAATGGCCATACCTGGGCCCCAACACTGAGAGATTCAGATTTTTTTAATTACTTATTTTAATTTGATTTATTATTGTTATTTTTAATTTGACCAGAGAGAGACAAAGAGAAAGAGAAGTTAAGTGAGAAAGCAATCTGTTAGGTCCAGGATCTAAACCACGGTCAGCCATGAAAGTCCAGTGCCTCAACCACCACGCCACCTACCAGCACCAAGAGATTCTGATTTAACTGATCTGGGGACTCATGCAAGCATTAAAAGATGTTATGATGACACTGGAAAGATAAGCCAAAGAATGAGACAGTGAGTTTATGATACAAATAACTGACAAAAGATGACACAGATGACTGACAAAAGACTCATATCCAGAATGCACAAATCAGTACAGAAATGACAGACAACCTAAAAATGAGGAAAAGACCCAAACCAGTATTCCCAAAAGAAGAAATTCAATAAGTTAAAAATATGAGAAGAGGGGTCGGGAGGTAGTATTGTGGTTGAGGTGCTTGACTCCCACATGGCCAACCATGGTTTAAGTCAGCCCTGAACCTGGTGGTTTGCTTTCTGGTTTTCCCTTTTTCTCTCTCTGGTCAAATTGAAAATAATAATAGTAAAAAATAGTGTAAAATAATTCGTTAAAAAGATTTTAACATGAGGGAACCAGCAGTTAGCGTAATGGCTATGTCACTAGACTCCCACATAGTCGACCGTGGTTCGCGTCCCAGACCCGGTGGCTTAAAACTCACGCCAGGCGCGTGTGCGTGCATGCCCAAGATCCCGAGAGGAGAATGGAGGAGAAGGGATTGTGGCGTGACCATCCCCCCTGGGGGGTGATTTCTCGCTTTCTGTCTCTGTGTCTCTCTGTCTAGCGAGCGCACACACCCTATAGCGAAAACCTCTCCAAAAAAAAAAAAAAGATTTTAACATGAAAAGATATTCCATTTCTTTTTCTTTTCTTTTTTTTTTGGAGAGGTTTTTGCTATAGAGTGTGTGCGCTCGCCATAAAGACAGAGAGAGACAGAGACAAAAAGTGAGAAATCACCCCACGGGGGGGATGGCCATGACACAATCCCTTCTCCTCCGTTCTCCTCTTGGGATCTTGGCATGGACGCACATGCGCCCAGTGTGAGTTTAAGCCACAGGTCTGGGACTCGAACTGTGGTCGACTACATGGGAGTCTAGCGACATAGCCATCATGCCAACTGCTGGTCCCCCATTTCTTTCTTAATCAAGCAAATGTAAATTAAAACCATAATAAGGTATGATTAAGTACCTTTGGACTGGCAAAAATTAAAAAAAAAATTATCAGTAGAAAGTATTGGCAAGAATGAAGAGCAATGGGATTGCTCATGTGCTATTTGTGGGAATATACACCATGTTGGAAAACGGTTGGCATAATTTAGTAAAGGTGAAGATATGCATGTCTTCTGACCCAATCATTTCATAAGTAGGTATATATTCAAGAGAATCCATGTGCTCTGTACTGAAATACATGTATAAGAGCACTCACAGTTGCATTGTTCAGAATAGTCTCAAAATAGAAACAACTCCAACTGTACACTAACAGCAGAATAGGCAAATAAATTGTGATACATCTCTATGGTGGAATACTATATAGCAAATAAAAATGAACAAAACTACAGCCATATGCAAAAACATAAACAGGACTCAAAGGCATAATGTTGAGCAAAAGAAGCAAGAAAGAAAACAATACATGCAGTGTGGTTCTGTTTATATGAAGTTCAAAAATAAGTGAAAACTAAGTGATATGATTCAGGGATAAATACCAGGATAGTAAAACGATGACAATGAAAAAACGATTAGCATAAATAGCATAAAAGTCAGGATAATCAGGGGTGATTAGAAAGTCACACAGGATGCTTTTGTTCTTTTTCTTGATCAAGGTAGCTGATTGTGAGGGTGTTTGTTTCTTTACAATACAAAACAATAGTACACATTTGAGTTTAGGCATTTTTCTGTATAGTGCTATTTTTCACAATAGAAAAGGTTAAACTGGGCCAAGCAGATAGCATGGAGGTTAAGGCAGCTGGATCTCAAATGGCCAACAGTGCAGTTTGAGTCCCAGATCTAGTGGTTTAAAAAACACACCAGGTTGGGACCAGCAGTTGGTGTAATGGTTACGTCTCTGGACTCTCATATAGTCAACTATGGTCCAAGTCCTGGACCAAGTGGCTTAAATCTCAAGCCGGGTACATGTGTGTGTGTGTGTGTGTGTGTGTGTGTGCACAAAATCCTGAGAGGGGAACAGAGGAGAAGGGATTGTGGCATGGCCATCTTCCTTGGGGGTTATTTCTCACTTTCTGTCTGTTTTTCTCTGTCTCTCGGGCCCTATAGCAAAAAATCTCTATTAAAACAAAACAAAACAAAATAAACAAACAAACAAAAACCCAGCAGGTGCATATGTGTGCATGCCCAAAATCCCTTGAGGAGAATGGAGGAGAAGACATTGTGGCATGACCATTACCCTGGGAGAGTGCTTTCTCATACCTCCCACCCGCCGTCTCTGGCAAGTACACGCACTCTATTGCAAAAATTAAAAAACAAACCAAAAAAAGTTAAATCATCTTTTTGAGATTTTTTTGGAGAAGTTTTTGGTATTGGGCACATGTACTAGCCAGAGAGAGTGGAGAGTGACAGAGACAATGAGAGGGAAAGTGAAATCACCCTCTAGTGGGGATGACCATGCCACAATCTCTTCTCCTCCATTCTCCTTCCAGGATTTTGGACATGCAACCACACACACCAGGCATGAGTTTCAAGCCACGGAGTTCAGGACTTGAACCACAGATGGCTACATGGGAGTTCAACGACATAACCATTACGCCATCTGCTGGCCCCTACACCATCTTTTAAGAAGAAAAAAAAGGGACCAGCAGTTGGCATAATGGCTATGTCGCTGGACTCCCACGTAGTCGACCGCGGTTCGAGTCCTGGACCCGGTGGCTTAAACTCACGCCAGGCGCGTGTGCGTGCGTGCCCAAGATCCCGAGGGGAGAATGGAGGAGAAGGGATTATGGTGTGGCCATCCCCCCTCGGGAATGATTTCTCACTTTCTGTCTCTCTGTCTCTGTCTGTCTGTCTGGCGAGCGCACGAGCCCTATAGCAAAAACCTCTCAAAAAAAGAAAAAATAAAAGTCCCTAAATGATCTAATGTAAAACCAGGGCTAAAGTAAAAAATGCTTAAAACAAGAAATGAAATCTAAATATTCTAGGGCCAACAGTTGGCATGAGGGTTAAGTAGATGGATTCTGCGTGGCCGACTCTGCGGTTTGAGTCCTGGTGGCATGAAAGACACACCACAGTGTATGTCTATGTGCACCCAAAATCCCAGGAAGGGAATAGACTAAAAGGAACTGAGGCATGGCTATACCTCCTAGGGGCTGATTTCTCACTTTCGCTCTGTTTCTCTCCTGCTAGTGCACAAACTCTAAGGCAAAAATCTAAAAAGAAAACTAAATAGTCTGTTAACAAGGGATATTTCAGTGGGGTGGAGGAGTTTCTATATTAAGTTAGAGGGTCATTTATTTTCTATCCTTATATATTTCTGTAATGTTTAGAGTTAATTATGAACAAGTATTATTTTGCTATAGTAAAATAAATTTTAATAAGAGAAGCAATTTAAAATTCTTTTGGAGAATACACAAAATAACTATTAAAATTAGGTGCCTCAGAAAAAGAACATATAAGGGGTATTTTTCATCGCATTGTATCTTCTTCATTTTGAACCCATGTGAAAGTACTACTTATTACGAATTTTATTTAAAATATGAGTATGTATCTTTAGGTTTTCCCAGAGCCCACTGCCATATAAAAACACATCAGTAGCCTTTGAAGCTGGCCCATGGGTGTATCTTTCCATATGTTAGGTTCTCACACATGTCCTACCTTTCACTACCAAGGCACTGGGACATCAACCCTGTGGGGATACAAGCCCTCCTCCCAGAAGAGGGCTCACATTTTACAAATGTGAAATGGTGTGCTTTGCTTAAATTTAAGTCTATTATACTACTAAGTAACAAAATTACTTAATTATCTGTACTTAGGTTACTATAGTGGGGTAGTAAAAAAAGTAAAAATTACCTCTAAGAGGAGCTCCACACTATCAACCTGAAGTTCTCGCAGTCCTACTATCTGTACCACATGCTTGCTATCTTCTCTTGCGAAGAGCCTATAAATGCAAGAATACAGTTGGTATGGCAGTACTGCTGTAACAGACCTGTTCTTTTCTCCCTACAAACCATTCCACCACTCCTCCCATTAAGTAGTGATGTTTGTCATTTGGATGGAATTAATATGCATCTTTAAACCAACCCCATCTTCTTGGCCTCAGCCTCAGCCTCAGAACTCAGGGGTGGTCCTTGATTGTAACAAATCAGCATATTTGGCTACAATGAAATGAATGAGCACATAATAGACCTATGCCAATCAGTGGCTGGCATATTCCTTGCTATAGTGATTGGTTCAAAGGTGGTCATGGGATCTTCGCTGGTTCAAGCCCTGGTCAATGGTTGTCCGGTACCTAGTAAGGCAGTCTGTTTTCCTCTGGAAGTGAAAGCCTGAGGCCCTGGGAGCAGTGGCAGCCATTTTGTATTAACAAGATAGTTTCAGGATGAAGCTAACACCATAGAGGGCAGAGCAGAGAGATGCAAAGAAACTGGGTCCTTATAATATCCTTGAGATGCTGAAGTAAACCAACCATGAAGCCTGACTGCCCTCTAGGCTTCCAATTATTTGGGTCAATGATTTCTCTAAACGCCTAAGCCAGTGTAAATGGGGTTTTCTTTATTTGCAACCTAAAGAGTCCTGATATATCTTCTAAGAGAGCAAGAAGAGCTGGGCATATGAATGTTTCAGGCATGTATGTAAGGCAATAAATGGTCATGGTCTACCATCATCATTAAACCAGATCCACTGAGGGGAATCTCTCAAAGACCCTAAGATTACTTTTTCCTCTTAAGAAGACATGAATAAATTCAATAATGGAATTCCACTCCATAACCCTCCCCCAAAAAAGTGTTTTTTTTTGTTTGTTTTTTTTTTTTTAATGTTCTTTACAGTCTATGCTACATCCCAAGTTTCTAAATTTTTACAGAAGGGTTAGAGAAAATAGCCTCACCAATGCCCATGATCTCTGAGAAAACAACTCTATTGGAATAGTCAGGCTTCTAGAATAAAAGAAGGATCTAGCTTTCAGAGCCCTCATGTCATTCCAAAACAAACTTCGTAGGCCCTATGCCCTGAGTTTACACCCAAAAAAGTTCTTAATGGACAGCCCAAAAAAAACTACTAGACTTTTTTTTTTTAAGAATTATTTAAATTTATTATTTATTTATTTATTCATTCATTCATTCATTTAGACCAGAGTAAGAGAGAGAGGGAAGAGAGAAAAAGTGAGAAAGCAAGCTGTCACATCCAGGACTTGAACCGCAATCAGCCATGTGGGAGTCCAGCACCCTTACTCTCCATGCTACCTGCCAGCCCCATAGACTTTTAAATCCTATAAGCAACAAGTATATTTCTATAATTTTAATGCAAAGGTACAAAAACAATTTATCTTCTACTTTTAGGAATTAATTTGAAGATCTTTAAGCTTTGTTTTCCAGTTCGAGAAGCAGACTGAACATACGCTTCTGTCTACCCTTGCCAAAGTTCCCCTATTATTATAGAAATTATTTGTTATTTACAAAACAGCAGGATGGGACCAGCAGGTTGCGCAGTAGTTAAGGTGCTGGATTTCTATATGGCTGATCCCTGTTTGAGTCCCAGATCCGTGGCTTGAAACTCACTCTGGGCCTGAGTGCATGCATGCCCCAAATCCCAAGAGAATGGAGAAGGGACTGCAGTATGGCCATCCACCCTGGGGGTTAATTTCTTACTTTCTCTCTGGCGAGCACACTCACCCTATAGCAAAAATCTTTTTAAAAAATTAAATTAAAAATAAAAAACTACAGGATAAAATATAACAGCATAAACAGGGAAGGGTGCTATCAGTAGATCAGACATTTTAGAAGACCCAGAAAGGTAAGAAACAAAGAGATCACATTAGCCAATTAACCAGTGAGATAAAACAAAACTAAACCTCCTCAGAATGCAAATAAACAGGGTATTAATCTCGTATTTATTGAAGAACTGCATTCAGAAACAGCTGGGTATCCTAATTGCTCCCTTGCCTGAACACACATACACACGAGGACAGTGGCTTTTTTATTCTAATACCAGCTGTTTTTCAGTTTGTTCTGTTTTGTTTTTGCTGTAGGGCACTGTGCACTCTCAGGCAAGAGAGAAAGAGGAAAAGTGAGAAATCATCCCCAGGAGGGATGTCATGCCAACTGTTTTTTGTTTTTTTTTTTGGGGGGGGGGTTTGCTATAGGGCGCATGCGCTCACCAGACAGAGAGAGACAGAGACAGAAAGCGAGAAATCACTCCCCCAGGGGGGGATGGCCATGCTGCAATCCCTTCTCCTCCATTCCCCTCTTGGGATCTTGGGCATGCATACACACGCGCTCAGCTTGAGTTTAAGCCACTGGGTCTGAGACTCGAACTGAGGTCGACTACATGGGAGTCCAACGACATAGCCATTACGCTAACTGCTGGTCCCATGCCAACTGTTTTTTAAAGGAGTTGGGCATTTTGACTGGAAAAAGCTTCTAAAAAAGGTGTTGAGATTTGATTTTTAAAAATTATTTTATTATTTATTTATTTTAATTTGACCAGATTGAGAGAGAGAGAAAGCAAGCCGCCAGGCCCAGGACTTGAACCACAGTCCACCATGTGGGAGTCTAGCGCCTTTAACCACCATGCCATCTGCCAGCCCCAGGTGTTGGGATTTGAAAAAGAAGCAATGACTGACAAATTGAGGTTTCAACACCAATACAGAGAAGGTAAAAGAGAAAACAACTCTTCCCCAAGGTCTCCCCAGAGCAGCACCCTACTTTATTTTGGAGTTGTGTTAGGAACTGAACCCCGAGTACCTATGCATTCTCTCAACTGTGCCATACTAAAGGCCCCCTTTTCACTATAATAGTTCACAGGAGAGTGGCTTGCCTAAACCAACTTGCTGGTTTCTCCAGCTGGCTACTCAGCACTCTAGTACCCTCCTATGACAGGGGCTTGCCCTATCATAGTTTCCTCATTGCACTGGAGTCTCCCCATCTCCCATTCTACTACATGCCTGGGGCACATGAAACTTGTATGTCCTTTTGGAAAACATCTTAGAGGCCTAGAAACCTTTGCTGCAGAGCTAGTCTCAAGTTGCTTGAGTTCCCCATGCTCAGCCTCAACTCATCACTGCCTGCATGTCTCAGGTCTGGTTAATTCTGTCTTGACAACCTTTTATCGTATCTTCTCTATTTCCTCTTGTCTCCCTATGTTCCTAGTCAGCCTATCCCTTCACAACTTCGTTGTCTCCTACGCAGTGTAAGTCTTCTGTTTCGACCTAAACAAATGTTATACCAGAAAAATATAATAGGGATTTAAAAGCAGAGTTACTGAATACATATCTAAATTACTGTACCATGTTGTAAGAGTTAGAATTCTAATATGAAGTAAAAAGATTATTTGTATTGATATCAGAAAATTATCAAGTTTACACTAAGATTATTGAGGGTAAACACAAGACAAAGTGGGAAACATTTTTTATAGTTCTTCCAATATAATAACAAGTCAAAAATAGATTAAGGGATTTAAGTACATATTCATTTCCCAGCTTCCTGAAATTATGACCTTTTTCATAGACCAACAGGAAAAGGAAAGTCTTTTGGTAGACATTAGGATATTAATAATTAAAAATATATTATTGGAAGGCTAATTCTCTAGCCGAATTAACAGTTTAAAAAATACATATCTGATGCAAGAGACCCTTGTTTCACAAAAGGGCACTAACATACCAAAGTCTCTCATTAAAGTCCATGATTCAGTGAATCTATGGGACTCTGGTTTAAAACAATGATAAGTGGACCAGCTTGATGGCATAGTGGTTAAGGAGGCTGGATCTTGCATGGCCTTCTCCATGGTTTGAGTGTCGGTCCCAGCTTGAAAAACATGCTAGGCATGTATGCATGCATGTCCAAAATCCTAAGAGGAGAATATAGGAGAAGAGATTGTGGCATGGCCATCCTCCCAGGGAGTGCTCACTTTCCCTTTCACTCTCTCTCCAGCAAGTACATACACCTTTATAGCAATTAAAAAAAATATATATATATATATTACACACACACACATTAAGGAGGTCATAAAGCTGTCCACAGTAGATTTCATAGAAGCTGATCCACACAAATAGGTGCCTTCTTGGCTGGGAGACTTCTAGGTGCCTAAAGATATCTTTGGCAGCCAGAGCATACAGTCCTGGGTTCTGATGAGTTCCTATCATGGTATAGGTCTTTCCAGCACCTGTCTGTCCATATGCAAAGCAAGTGGCGTTGCCTCTGGGGGAAGAAAAATTTATATAATTTATGTGTATTAAGAGAAGTACTAATCTACACATAGATAAATTTTATTTATTTATTTTATTTATTTTATTTTTTTGCTACAGGGTATGTGCACTTGCCAGAAAGAGAAAGAGAGGGAGAGAAAAAACAGAGAGAGAAAAAAAGTCAGAAAGCACCTCCTCTCAGGGAGGTGATGGTTATACAGTAATCCCTATTCTTCCATCCTCCTCTTAGGATTTTGGGCACCCATGTATATGTGCCCAATGTGTTTGTCAAACCAGGATTTGAACTACACAGCTTCTTTAACCACCATGCCACCAGCTGGCCCTATGTACAGATTTTTTTTTTTAATGGCAAAGGTCAGGTAGAAATACAGATCCTTGACAGAATACAGTTAAACACATCAACCCAATCCTTTAAGGAGAGGAGGAATTTAGATGATAAAAACATAGGAAGATGGAAAAAAAATTCTCAAACTACTGAGTTTTCTTACAGGTATTTTTTACTCTGAAAGATAAAGAGAGTAGGACATTTAAAATGGTTAAGGTGGCTGGACCTCACAACCGTGCAGTTCAAATCTTGAACCTAGCAGCTTGAGAAACATGCAGTGTGTGTGTGTGTCCAGCATGTGTGGAGAAGGGACTGTGGACCATGCCCCAGGTGGAGTCTTTTTTCACTTTCTCTCTGTATCTCTTTGTTCCTGTGAGTGCACATGCCCTCTGGCAAATTAAAAAAAAAAAAAAAAAGAAAGAAACTACTTGGCCAGCAAGCACTATCAAGTTTCTACCCCATGCCAGGTATTTTAGAAGATCTTAGAGAATATTTTGCTTTACTATAGAAAGGCAAGTTTGGTGGATAAAGTATAGAAAATCATGTGATAGGGCCAGCAGGTGAAGTGGAGGGTTAAGGTGCTAGACTCCCACATGACCAACTGTACAGTTCAAGTCCTGGACTTGGCAGCTTGAAAATCATGCCAGGCGCTTGTGTGTACATGCTCAAAATTCCAAGAGAAACAGGAGAAGAGACTGAGGCAGAGCCATGCCCCTGGGTGGTAATTCCTCACTTTCCTTTTCTCTTTCTGTCTCTGGTGAGTGCATGTGCCTTGTTGGGGTGAAAAGAAACTGAAAAAGAAAATCATGTAATAAACAGGATGACAATGACTACTCGTTGAATAGTAACAAAGTTTAGACAATTTAAGCAAAATATTTGAGAAGGACTCATAAGAACAGGAAACTGGGCTAAACTTTGAAGGCAGAGGCTGAGAATGCAGAAAGCCTCTGCAATGGGGTAGGCATAGCATAAGCAGAGACCACAGCAACAGAGATGGTGGCGGGCACATCAAATTTTGAGAGAAAAAAACCTGGGTTGTGGTCTCTGCTCTGCCATTATCTGACTACATGACTTTAGGTAAGTAACTTCACTTCCAGGCCCCAGTTTTCACTTTCATCAGTAAAAAGGGGTTATATAGTTTGTAAGATCACTCCCAGCCTTGATGCCCGCCCTATGATTCTAAGTGAGACTCACTAGGCATGCATCCTGTGTGAGTAAAGACCTGCAAAATAAGAGAGAAGGCAGCAGGAGACCAACCTGCCAATAACAATATGTTTGGAAAGGAGATGGAGACCACAGTTACCTACATATTGTGGGATCCAACTATACAGTGCTTGGTAGAGAATGAACATGATATTATGTGAGCATCTATTGCAGACTCTTGAACATGAATCACATGAGTTAATGATAAAAGTAGCTGCTTGCTGCAAGAAAAAAAAATCTATGTGTGGACAGGAATGGGGGAGGCTGGAGGTAGGCAGAGAGATAAGGATACCCAAAGAGACTTGAAGTAAGAAAGAAAACAAAGAAAGAGTAAAATGACAAGAACAAAACTAAACATGAAAGTGTGAAAATCAAGAGATAAGAGTTAATCAGATTTAAACCACTTGAAGCAGAGACCAGTTATTCTTTGTCTTTTGAAACCTGATTCCCCACAGGGTACTTTAAATACACTGGCAAAGGGCCTGTCCTGAAGCATAGAGGTTAGGTGAGCTGAATATCACATGGCCAAAAGCAGTTCAAATTCTGGCCCCAGAAGTTTCAATGAGTGTGCATGATGGGAAGGAGAAATAGAGTAAAGGGGATTACAGAAAAACTATGACCCATTGGAGGGAGCTTTCTTTCTCTTTTTGGTGAGCATATGTGCTATCAGGCAATAAAAAAAAATTAACTGGCAGATGCACAGTCAGGAAAAGGATTACAGAAGAAAAATTTGAATATGCTAAAGATGATCTGAGTGAGAATAAAGAAAATGAGTTTAAAAATCTACCTTACACAGGGCCGGCAGGTGGCGTGGTGGTTAAGAGCACTGGACTCCCACATGGCCAACCACAGTTCGAGTCCCGGAACTGGTGACTTGCTTTCTCGCTTTCTCTCTCTCCCTCTCTCTCCCTCTCTCTCTCTCTCTGGTCAAATTAAAATAAATGAATGAATAAATAAAGTTAAATAAAATAATTCTTTTAAAAAAAATCTACCTTACATGGACCAGCAGTTAGCGTAATGGCTATGTCGCTGAACTCCCATGTAGTCGACTGCGGTTCGAGTCCCGGATCTGGCAACTTAAACTCATACCAGGTGCGTGTGTGCCCAAGATCCCGAGAGGAGAATGGAGAAGGGATTGTGGCGTGGCCATCCCCCCAGGGGGTGATTTCTCACTTTCTGTCTCTCTGTCTTTCTGGTGAGCGCATGTGTGTGCTCTATAGCAAAATCCTCTAAAAAAAAAATTTACCTTACCATCTGAACTTTTTTTTAGGTTTTTACCATAGAGAATGTGCTCTCATGGGAGAGACAGAGAGAGACAGAAAGAGGGCAAGTGAGAAATCACCCCTGGGGATGATTGCAGCCACAATCCCTTCTCCTCTGCAAATGCACCTGGTGTGAGTTTAAAGCCATTGGGTCCAGTCTCAAACCATGGTTGGCCATGTGCGAATCCAGCCACCTTAACCACCACACCACCTGCTGGCTCCGGGAATGAGTTTTTTTTAAACATGCAACAAATTACAAGAACGAAAAAATCTTACTACACTTTATAGAATGAGTGCACTAAATTTGCAACTCTGATTTGTTATTACCAAAGTTTTAACATTCAAATTATTATTTTTATTTTGGGCAGAGGGCACATGCAATTGCCAGAGTGAGCAGAGAGAGGTTGAGAGAGAAAGCAACCCCCAATGAGGTGTGGTCACGCCTCAATTCCTAATTCCTTCTCTTCTATCTCTCCATCCTGTCAAGATTTGGGGCACATATGCACATGGGCCTAGCACATTTTTCAAGTCACTGTGGCCAGGTTTTGAACCATACAATCCTTCATGTGGGACCTACCTCCTTTAACCACTAGACTAAAGGGGCTGGCCCAACATTCAAATTCCTATCTTAGAAATCTGCTGTTTCAAAAAGCACTTCCTTGGACCAGCAGTTAGCGTAATGGCTATGTCGCTGGACTCCCACGTAGTCGACCGTGGTTCGAGTCCTGGACCCGGTGGCTTAAACTCACGCTAGGTGCATGCGCATGCGTCCCCAAGATCCCAAGAGGAGAATAGAGGAGAAGAGACTGTGGCATGGCCATCCCCCCCGGGGGTGATTTCTCGCTTTCTATCTCTCTGTCTCTCTGTCTGTCTGTCTGGCGAGCGCACACGCCATATAGCAAAAACCTCTCAAAAAAAAGCACTCCCTTAATTTGGTGCAAAAGAAACTGAACCTAAAATGTGGATATTTCACTTTTTTAGTTTGCTCATAAAAATTTAAAAATTGTAAATAACTTTGGGGCCAGCAGGTGGCATAGTGATTAAGATGCTGGATTCCCACATTGCCAACCATTGTTCAAGTGTTGGACCTGGCAGCTTAAAACTCATGCCAGGTATGTGTGCGTGAATGCCCAAAATTCTGAGAGAATAGATTGTGGTGTGGCCATTCCCTGCCTCCCCGGGGGGTGGTGATTTCTTGCTTTCTGTCTCTCTGGTAAGTGCTCTTGCCCCGTAGCAAAAATTTCTCAAAAAAAATTTTTTTTATAAAATAACTTTTACAAAATAATAACAAAAAGACAACACACAAAATGGGCAAATGAAGATATTCTAATGGTAATGAACACCTGAAAAGATGCCCAGTATCATTAGGGTAATTAAAATTAAAACAACAATGAGATATAACTTCATACCCAATAGGTTGGCTAAAATATAAAAGACTGACAATATCAGATGTTGGTGAGGTTGGAGAATTCCAATTCTCATACACTGCTGTTGAGAATATAAATTAGTCAGCACTATGGAAACTGTCTGACACCTTCTTATAAACATATGCCTATTCTGTAACCCAGCAATTCCATTTCTAGGTTTTTATTCAATAAAAATGGGCATATAAAAGACTTGTATAAGAATGCTCATACAACTTCATTCATAATGGTCCAAAGATGGAAACAACTCTAATCTGTGTCAACAGGAGAATGAATAGATTGTGGTATAGTCATAAGAGGGAATATTATTCAGCAATAAAAGCTATGGGCACATGCAAGAACATGTACTAATATTTTTTTTAAATATGCTAAGAAAAAAATGTAGGCATAAAAAGGATATAGATAATGATTCTATTTCTATGACATTCTAGAACAGCCAAAATTAATCACAGTGACAAAAGCAGATCAGTGGTTATAAGACCTGGGGATGAAGGTGGGGGTTAATTAAAAAGCTATAAAAGAGAACTTTGTCGGGTGATGGAAATGTTTCATATGTCTAGGTATGAGTTACCTGTATATATACAACTATCAATACTCATCCAACCTGAATGTTAAAGATTTGTGCATCTTCCTGGGGCTGGTAGATGGTGTGGTGGATAAGGATGTTGGAGTCCCACATGGCCAACCATCGCTCAAGTCCTGGATCCGGCAGCTTGCTTTCTCACTTTCTCTCTTTCTCACTCTGTCCCTCTCTGGTCAAAGTAAAACAAATAAATAAAGTTAAATAATTATTTTAAAAAAAGAGATTCGTACATCTTCTTGTATGTTAATTACATCTCATTTTTTAAAAGTTATAAAGTTATTTTTTAAGATGTAAGTTAGGGCTGGCCCTATAGCCTAGTAGTTAAGGGAGCAGGATCCCACATAGCTAACTCATGGTTCAAGTCTCAGCCCCGGAGACTCGAAAAATATGTCAGATACATTTTGTGTGTGCCCCAAATCCTGACAAGATGGAGAAATGGAGGAATAGGGATTGTGCTATGACTAAACTTGGGGGCAGAGGAGGGACTATTCCTGGCTACCCCACCCCATCCATCTCTCCCTCTTTCTTTCTCTCTCTGGAGAATACATATGCTCTTTGACAATTCAAAAAAGGGGGAGAGGTAGCATGGTGGTTGAGGCAATGGGCTCCTACATGACTGACTGTGGTTTGAGTCCCAGACCTGATGGCTTGGTTTCTCACTTTCCCTCCCACCCTGCCCTCTTTCTCTGTGATCAAGTTAAAAAAAAAAAAAAGTAATAAATAAACTTAAATGAAATAATTCTTTTAAAAAAAGTGGGGAGGAAGAGAGAAAAAATTTAAATAAACAAATAAAACATTAAAAAAATAAAAATAACAGTTAGGGACCAGCAGTTAGCATAATGGCTATGTCGCTGGACTCCCATGTAGTTGACCGTGGTTCGAGTCCCGGACCCGGTGGCTTAAAACTCATGCCAGGCGCGTGTGCGTGCATGCCCAAGATCCCGAGAAGAGAAAGGAGGAGAAGGGATTGCAGCGTGGCCATCCACCCTGGGGGTGATTTCTCGCCTTCTGTCTCTCTGCCTCTGTCTGTCTGGCGAGTGTATGTGCCCTATAGCAAACACTTCTCCAGAAAAATAAATAAATAAACAAACAAATAAATAAATAATAAAATAAAAGCTAAAATTCTCTGGGCTGGCTCTGTAGCTTGTTGCCTAAAGCAGCTGGATCCCACATAGCCAACACTGAGTTTTGAGTCCCAGACCCAGTGGTTTAAGAAATATGCCAGGTGGGTGCCAGCAGGTGGTGTGGTAGTTAAGGCACTGGACTCTCACATGGTCAACCACAGTTCACACCCCGGACTGAGAGGCTTGAAAATCATGCTGGGTACTTGTGCGTACATGCTCCCAAATCCCAAGAGAATGGAGGAGAAGGGATTGCAGCATGGTCATCCCCTAATGGGGGGGGGAGGTGATTTCTCACTTTCTCTCTCTGACTCCCTCCACCAATGCATGCATCCTACAGCAAAAACCTCAAAAGAAAGAAAGAAAGAAAAGAGAAGAAAAGAAATATGCCAGGTGATCGTGTGTGTGTGTGCCCCAAATCCTGACAAGATAGAGAAATGGAAAAGAGACTGCAATGTGATCAATTTCCCATGGTGGCAGGGGTGGTGGTGGGTGATTTTTTCCTCTTTCTCCCTGGTGAGCATACATTATCTCTACCAAAAAAAAAAAGTTAAAATTCTTTGTATTCAATGACTTCGGTAGGCTATTTAACAATATCTATCAATACTTGACCACATTTTAAATATACAACAGAGGTCCCTAAAACCTATCTAAATTCACTTAATGTCTAAATATAAATAATAATTTCAAATAAAAAGTATACCTATGAAAAGTTGATAAGTGATACTCACTCATCCACAATATTTTAATCAAAAAATTAACTGAACTATAGCCAGTATACATAATTCCTATTATCAAAGCTTAGATTAACCACTGAAACCTTTTTATTCTGAGGACTTTGATGAAATTATATTATTCACAGCTTCTATTTTTCCACAAAGTACAGAGAAGCAGTATCACTTGTGTAAAAGGAAATTTTGCTTCAAATTTCTAAATCGTATAGATAAATTGCACTTTTTCAGAAAAGTCTAACTTAGATTCCTTAGATCAAAACACAAACTTATATTTAATTCTAAAGAACTGAAAATTAGTTAAATGGTGTTATAAAGAAATACATGGAAAATAGAAAATAAAAAGCAAGAGAAGCAAATAATTATTATCGTACCCATTAAAAATATGTTGAATAAGTGGGTGAGTAGTCTTCATGTATACATCCCAATTGGTGCACGCTTCACCAAAGACTTCATCAAAATAAAAAACATGCTGAAAAATAAATTTGATTTTTATAGAAAGAAATACATTCTGAATTTTCTTCACCAGTATTCTAGGTAACACATGATAAAGGCCTAAATACATTGAAAAATAACAGTAATTGACCATGACAAACTTAGAGATAAATAAGCAATCAATAACTGGTAAATGACAGGGCTTCTTTTACTTGATATCTGTAGGTATATTCTTACAATGTAAAAAAGAAGGCAAACAATTTTTTATATCTCTTAAGGGAACTCAGCTGATGAGTACAAGAGTGAGCTAAGCCTCCTTTAGTCCAGGAGAAGAACTGATTTCTATGGGTTTACCTCATAGCTCAGTTAGGGCCAACATATTTGAAATTTAGGAACGAGGCTAGGGAAAAAAATCTCCATTCTGTAGGTTACATAGCTTAACTCTTAATTCCATAAACATTTATTGTGTTTAGCTAGTAGCATGTATATTTCACTTTTTAAAAATTATTTTTTATTTAACTTTATTTACTTACTTTAATTTGTCCAGAGAGGGAGAGAGGGAGAGAAAGAGAGAGAGAAAGCCGCCAGGTCCAGGACTGGAACCACAGTCAGTCACATGGGAGTCCAGCGCCCTTAACCACCATGCCACCTGCTGGCCCCAGTAGCATGTATATTTCAGTAGGCACATGAAGGGCCCAAAGATACTACCCTACCCACCCCTCAAGAATGTTTATTTACATAAGAATACAGGTGACTACAAACTTTATTTACTTACTTTAATTTGTCCAGAGAGGGAGAGAGGGAGAGAAAGAGAGAGAGAGAGAGAGAGAAAGCCGCCAGGTCCAGGACTGGAACCACAGTCAGTCACATGGGAGTCCAGCGCCTTTAACCACCATGCCACCTGCTGGCCCCAGTAGCATGTATATTTCAGTAGGCACATGAAGGGCCCAAAGATACTACCCTACCCACCCCTCAAGAATGTTTATTTACATAAGAATACAGGTGACTACAAGGTAAAAGAAACTTAAGAGACAAAGAACTTGTGGAAGTCAAAGAGAAAATATATTCTCTCTGATTAGGAAAGTCTATGAAAAAGACTGTACTGAGAATGGGCCATAGGGGAAGAAGAGGAATTTGAGAGGAAGAAATGAAGGGAGAGAAGGTATTTCAGGCATGGGGGAAGCACGAGCAGCCCAGGTGGGGGAGTCCAAGTAGTTAACTGCTTAATTAATGTTTAGGGATACAATGTGGCAGAAATACAGGATTTCACCAATTAGAAAGTGAGACAGAGGCTAAAAAAATGAGTTAGGGGACCAGCAGTTAGCCTAATGGCTTTGTCGCTGGACTCCCACGTAGTCAACTGCAGTTCGCGTCCCGGACCCGGTGGCTTAAAACTCACTCCAGGCGGGACCAGCAGTTAGCGTAATGGCTATGTTGCTGGACTCCCATGTGGTCGACCATGGTTCGAGTTCCGGACCCGGCGGCTTAAAACTCATGCCGGGCGCGTGTGCGTGTGTGCCCAGGATCCCAAGAGGAGAAAGGAGAAGGGATTGCGGCATGGCCATTCCCTCTGGGGGATGATTTCTCGCTTTCTGTTTCTGTCTGTCTGGTGAGAGCATGTGCCCTATAGCGAAAACTTCTCAAAAAACAAATGAACAGGGAACCAGCAGTTAGAGTAATGGCTATGTCGCTGGACTCCCATGTAGTCGACCACGGTTCGTGTCCTGGACCCGGTGGCTTAAAACACGCCGGGCGCGTGTGCATGCGTGCCCAAGATCCCAAGAGGAGAATGGAGGAGAAAGGATTGTGGCGTGACCATCCCCTCTGGGGTGTGATTTCTCGCTTTCTGTCTCTATGTCTCTGTCTGTCTGGCGAGCGCACGCACCCTATAGCGAAAACCTGTCCAAAAATAAACAACGAAAAAAACTCTCAAAAAAAAAAAAAAAGAGTTAGAACTATGGTGTAAGGCTTTCTAGACATAAGCCATAAGGGAGAGGGAAGAATTCTCATATTTAATTCAGTGAACACTGGAGAGACAATAAATACACAGGCCAGACAGTGGCATGGTTGAGGCAGCTGAATCTCACATGGCTGTTCAAGTCCTGAACCTTGCAGTTTAGAAAACATACTACACAAGAGAGAGAGAGAGAGAGAGAGAGAGAGAGAGAGAGAGTGTGTGTGTGTGTGTCCAAAATCCTGAGAAGAGAAAAGAAAGGATTGCAGTGCAACCATTCCCCAGAGTAGGGTGGTACGGAATGGCTCACCAACTCCATAGAATGGCCCACCAAGTCCTGCAGGAGCCTGGGGCATAGGAACACCAGCCAGGATTCCTCTGCCAGCAGCCGTGCTGATGCCTGGACCTCCAGCAGCCCCAGCAAGTGGCACTTGAGCAATGCCAGTATCTTTGGGAGAAGGTTCTACTGTCTCTACTGTCATGGAGACCAGGTTCTCTCCTCGCAATAGCACCACACTTATTTTCCCTTTCTATTTGTTTGGAGTTCTTTGGCTTGATCTTCCTGAAGAGGATCAAATTCACATGCTTGTCAAAAGCCTTCAAGGTGAAGATCTCAGCTGTCTTACAGGATGCACCTGATTGTGTAGTCAATGTGCTGCAGCATCTTGCTGTTCTTACCCACAGTCATGGTGGCGATTCTGATGGCTCTGATTGCGGCCCAATTCGCCTCCACAGAGGCCTAGTTACCTGCCAGCAATCTGATTCCTGCTACCTGGGAGAGAGACTTTTTGCTAGTCTGTGTATGCTCACCAGAGAAACAAAGAGATGAGGGAGGAGAGGGAGGGAGGGAGGGAGAGAGAGAGAGAGAGAGAGAGAGAGAGAGAGAGAGAAATCACCCCTTGGGGGGATGACCACACCACAATCCCTTTTCCTTTCTCCTCTTGGGATTTTGGGCACACACGCACTCATGCCTGACGTGAGTTTTAAGCACCGGGTCCAGCACTTGAACCATGGTTGGCCATGTGGGAGTCCAGCGCCTTAACCACTATGCAACCTGCTGACCCTGGGGTGGGGGAGTGAGGAGGTGTGCCCTCTTTCTTTCTCTGCAAGTACACATGTCCTATAGCAATTTTTTTTTAAATAACAAAAATAATTTTAATAAGAATTATGCAAAGAAGGACGATCTGAGCCATTTTAATGGAAGATTCATATGGTTAAACACTATGAATAGATTATGAACAAGGACCCTAGTAATTCAGTGGTGAGGTCAGAAAGTTCTAAATTAGATGATGACAATAGGAATAAAGAGATGGATACATAAGAAATTTGGCAATTGGATACAGAGATCTGAGGACAAAAAAATAGTCCAAGATAACTTCCAAAGGAAAAGAATCATGGTAATATAGAAAAGGAGAGACTCCACTAAATTGGATCTGAGAAGCATTAATTCAGTAGCCATAATTATTTGCATAATTTAGAGGCTTAACATGTGGTAGCCCAACAATATCTGAGTAAGAAATCACAGCAATTTCAAGTCTGAGTAGAGCGTAATGACTGTACACAATGAATGCTAGATAAGGCCCTACCTTCTGTCACCTTTTGGGCCTTCTCTAAGGAAAATATGTATGGACAGATCCTGATCTAGCCTGGAGAGACCCTGATCTAGTCTGAGGCCTATTTATTGAGGGCCACTCCCCAGGTTCAATTCTGTTTTGTGTACTATTACAACAGAATAGAAATTTGTTAGGTAATCTAGAAATGAAAAGAAATGGGACCAGAAAGTCAAATTCATCAGTTGGAAAAAATATCCAGAAGTTAGGTGAGAAGATAGTGAATCTGATCTGTGCAGAATGGTGAAGACATCTGTGACCTTTTAGTGCCTTGAAAATTGTGATTTTTTTTCCTTAAAAAAAATAATTTTATTTATTACCATTATTACTATTAATTTTGCTATAGGGCACATGTGCTCACCAGAGTAAGGGGAAAGCAGCAGGTGGCATGATGGTTAAGGCACTGGACTTCCACATGGCTGATCATGGTTCAAGTCTTTTCTTCTTTTTCTCTCTCGCTGGCCAAATTAAAATAATAATAACAACAAATAAAATAAATAAATATTTTTAAAAATAATAGAGAGAGAGGAAAAGCAAGAGGCCAGGTCTGGCACTTGAACCACAAGCTGGCCATGTGGGAGTCCAGTACCTTAATCACCACCACCTGTTGGGCCTAAGACTTTAAGGACACAGTTATTAACTAAAAGTTAATAATTGTTGAAGCTGTGTGGTAAGTACATAGAGGCTCATTATACTCTCTTTTTTTTAATGAGTAAGAGGGAGAAAAAGAAGAGGAGAGGGGAAGAGACAGAAAACAGAAAGAAAGCTATTTTTGAAAGTCTTGCCTATGTCTTTAGGTGGGTCCCAAACCAAACCTGAGCCTCCCATGTGGCCCCAGCCTCATGTAGTGGCACCCAACCACGTGTGCCACCATTGATAAGCTAGTATATCAGTATCCATATATATATATACATATATATTTTTTAAATAATTATTTTATATATTTATTTTAATTTGATCAGAGAGGAACAGAATGAGAGAGAGAGAGAGAGAGAGAGAAAGTGAGAAAGCAAACTGCCAGGTTCAGGACTCAAACCACTGTTGGCCATGTGGGACTCCAGAACCCTTAACCACCACACCACCTGCCGACCTCTACATATATATTTTTTTGTTTGTTTGTTTTTAATTTGTTATAGGTCATATATGCTTGCCAGAGAGATAGAGAGAGAAAAAAAGTGAGAAAGCACCCAGCACCCTTCAGGATTGGGGACCACACTGCAATCCCTTCTCAATTCTCCTCTCAGGATTTTGAACAAACACACACATGTGCCCAACATGTTTTTTTCAAGCTGCTGGGTTGGGGACTTGAACCATGCAGTAGAACACGTGGGATCCAGTGGCCTTAACCACTATATCACCTAGCTAGCCCCCATTGACTCTTTTATATAGTTTAATACAATATTTTTGTATATATTTTTTTCTTTCAGAAAATGGAATG